CCTGCCTACGAAACAGAGAAAACCATCGACTTTTTCCAATATGACAGAAGCTCAACGCCCCAAGATCGGCGTCGGCGTTGTCATCCATGACAATGCGGGCAACATCGTCATGGGCGAGCGCGCAGGCTCGCACGGCGCGGGAACCCTTCAATGTCCCGGAGGCCATCTCGAGTATGGCGAGTCGTTTGCTGAAACGGCTGCAAGAGAGGTTCTGGAGGAGACTGGGCTTGAGGTGGGCAACATCAAGTTTCTGACTGCTACCAACGATGTTTTCGGAGAGGGAAAGCACTATGTGACCATTTTTGTTACTTGCACCATTATCGGGGAAAATAAGACACCCATGGTAAGTACCTCTTGATGCTGCAGTTGACGGGGAAAGGAAATGCAGTACTGATGGGTTTGACAGCCGATGGAACCGCATAAATGTGCTGCGTGGAGTTGGGTGCCCTGGAGCAAGATGTGGCAATGGGCTGGAGAACAAGCGAAAGCCGAGCAAGAAGGAAAAGAAGTGCAGAAGAACCTGTTCTTGCCGCTTTTCAATCTGTGGAGAGAGTACCCTGAAATGAAGGATGCGCTTGTTGGGAGATGACAACATTTTTATCGATAGTGCATTTCGCCTGGAAAACTGTTCTTCGTTGTCGTGGAAATCCTCTCTACTCTACTCCGCTACAGTCGCGATTTCTCATGCTTTGTGATGAGAGTGAATCAGATTCGAAGAGCACGACCTCGTTCGAAAGAAAAACTGAACACACATCTATGTAGGCTGATAGACATAAACCACCAAGGAGTCTGCATTGCCTGAAGATTTTGTGAATTTCCGTTTTGACATCAATGTAGACTGCAACTCATCTGTTTAGTTCCTCCTCTGAGCGGGACAGCGCTGCGAGTTGCTTGGCTTTTGATAGACAAACCGTACACAAGATGAGGTTAGGAAAGGATAGTTGAGAGTGGTAGTACATAATTAAGCTCTAGCGCATCGGGATGATGTTACAGTAAGAGAAAATGCACCCCGTGAGAGAAGGTATGGCGCACGCTTACGTTTTGAAATAGTAGGTAAATTGATATATGGGTATAATATACGCGTGGCAACATCGAGCAGTGTCATTGCGCCGGACATAGTGATCCTGCCATGGCAGCCATCATTGCGCTGCGCCGTGTAAACACCAGATGGTACGAAACAAGAGAGCAGAGCTCAGAAGCTTCGCTCCTATCCTTTCCTGGATCTTGGGCTCCTAGGCACTAGACCCTCACCCTGCGACTTCATCTTCTCCATCGCCTGCTGAACTTGATGCTGCCGCTTTGAAACGTGCTCGTGTCGCTTCTCAACTTCTGCCTCAAACTCCTGCGCTAGCTTGCGTTTCTTTTGCCTTGCCTCCTTTGTGCGCCGAATGATGTCTTGGAATCGATCGAGGAACCAGTCGCCAGCATCCTCCCATTCGGTTGTGGGCAGTGATTGGAAGAACTCGGATTGCTGAACGGCATCTGGGTTCTGCTGTACTAGCTCTAGACGCTCGACCAGAGGCTTCTGAAGATCCTCCTTTGAGAGCACAGACGGCCGGGCACGGGGATCAGTATCGAAGCTTTCGTTCCTAAGCTGCTCGTAACTCATCCCGAACAGCGTCGTGTGGTCGTAGTCTTCATGGGAGACAACCTCAGGCTCCTCGATCGGCGCTTGTTCGACCGATTGCTGCTGCGCGACGGGTTCATGTATAGCCGGTACTAGAGGCTGGCGCTTTTGAGGCGCATGAGGCTCACTGGGCATGGCATTGTTCCTGGGTGGGGGCTGCGTCCTGGGGCCAGAAGACTGTCGAACAAGGTGTTGCTGAGATTTGCTGGGCTGCACCTGAGTACCAGGATGAGGACCCGAATATATCGGCAGATTGGCAGTGCCATTGTGCTTGTCCGGGTGATGGGCTTGGTGTTGACTGGTGGGAAGGGCGAGGGCGTGATGCTGAACGTTTTGACCTCCAGCCTGCAGGGAAGGCGCGGCAGTGCGAGACTGCTCGCGGATCTGCGCACTATGCCGAAACAAACCCGATGGCTGCTGCGTACCCTGGCTGGCAATTGACATGTTTCGCCTTTGTTGTTGTTGCGGGGCATGGGACGCCGGCATGTGTGCGGCTTGCTTGTTTATGTTCTGACGTTGAGGCGGAGGGGAACTGGGAGCGAACTCGTTGTGGAAGTCGGAGAGTGCTTCCTGTCCACCTTCCCACTCGGACGGCTCACCATTGGTGGTCGGGGGATATGAATCACCTCGGACAGTTGGGAGTCCACCTCGCCCTGCCTGATGCAAAAAGTTCACTTGCTCATCATAAGGAAGATGTGCAACTCTGCTCGCATGAAGGAAGTCTCGGTTTTCTTGCAGCAGTTCGTCGTCATCATAATCTTCAGATCCGTCTTCCCTATCCTCTGGCTCGTCTGCATACTCATCGTCTTCTCCTTCGATCTCCGAAGTGCCACCAAGGTTGACGACATGATCTTGCTGTGGGTAGTGCTGCTCTTTCTGTTGACTATCTTCGACCTGTACGATAGATGGGTTCACAGTAGTGTCAAGACTCTCTGCATCAGTGTCATAAAGATCGCGCTTTTGACTTGGACCCGGACCTGACTGTCGATTTTGGACGGGCTGCTGCAATACGGCGGAGTTGTTTTGGGTAACGTTGAGTCCGCGCGCTGGAATACCAGAAGTTGCTCGAGGTTGCTGAACGGGATGTCCGTTTCTTATTGACACCCTCGCGTTTGCTGCATTGGCTTGGCGGTCGGGCTTGCCTTGAGGCTGACCAGCGGCAGGACTGCCGGTTCTCTGACGAGCGACAAAGCCTTGCATCGTGGGTAAAGAGAGAGCCACACTCACTCTATTACCTAGATATTTGTCGACGATCAGGTGAAGTTGAGGTTTGCGAGGTGAGTTGAGAAAGTGAGTGCTGAGGCTTGAATGGGAAAGCGCGTCTCTGATGATGCTCTAACTTCATCCGGACAAGCCTCGGCCCCGCCAAAGTGAGCCTAGCACCGCGATGACGATATCTTATCTCCGAGTCGTGGTGTTGCTCCCTTCGCCCATGTGTGTAGACTCGTGCCCCACGAGGTTTGACATTCTACGTTGCAACCTGACATATATACAATGGCATCTGACATCATGGGTGAATGCTATCTCTACAGGCTTCCCAATGAGGCATGCTTTCCTGTCACATCCGTATCGCGTCCAACTTGCTAACCATTGTAGTTACTTCTCCACCTCCTTACGCCCATACCAACGCCCGAACTCCTACAATTGACCACGATATCGCATCGCATATACACGCTCATCCTACGTATCCTCCATAATCGGCTCACTGCAGCTGCCGAGCTACATTCGCACTCGGTGCTTCTCGAATGTTTCCACCCCTCTGCGAAGCTCACCGAGCCCCCGTACTTCTGTACATACCGATGCACCGATGGCTTAAAGAGTTACGATGATTACAACTCTGCTACAGATGAGGTTGGCAGACTAGCCGAATACAACAACATGTACTCGCGCTTCAAGCCCCATAGGCGCGATTTGGAAGCGGATGGCAGGAGAGTGAAGCGCCGACCTGGAGACGTACCTGGCAGTCGTACCTTTCCGGGGGCAGTACAGGAGAGATACGAAGGCGAGACCGTGAGACAGACACTTGGATTGGAGGCGCATGAATTGTTCACGCAGCTGGTTGCGCAGACGAATCTTGTCAAGATCGGTTCTCACAATCTTTTCACCAACTTTGTTGACATTGAGGAAGGTGTACTCCGAGTGTGGAGAGATTGGTTGCGAGACATTGCGGCGAAGGGCTTGACGACGGATATGGAGGTACCAAACGAGGTTGTTGAGGAGGTAGGTAAGGGTAAAGAGATCGTAAGAGAGGTAGAGGAAGAGAAAGCGGACTTGGACGACCCGCGCATCCTCTGGGTCAGTCCGAGGAAAGACAGCGGTATACGCTTCAATGTCAGGGAGCGGAAGCTTCGGAGGGACGCTCCGATTCTCATCAGCACAGATGAGGACATGCCAGTCACATACGAAATTGAGTATGACGGTAAGTCAATGCATCCTCCTTGGTGTCGCAATGCTTGCTGATGTCCGGTAGAGCTCCTCATTAGAACGTCGCATATCCTCTTAATGCTCGAAAGGTCCATGTTGCAGGAGGACAATTCATCTGGTAAAGCGGTTGTCTTCGGATCATTCGGATAATTCAAGCAGTTCAAACAAATGCACGCCAATTTCAGAAGAGTCATGGTCTACTTGGGTCCAGATCCTCGGTTCTTAGTGGAGTCACCCCTCCTTGGCGAATTCGGTCACCACAACGCACCAGGGCATCAACGCATCCCCTCCCACCCAACGGCAAAAAACATACACTGTCCCAAGCACCCAGGGGACTCAAAAACATGACCTCCATGTGATTTGAACACATAACCTTCAGGAAGCTCCAGGTAATACTGGAATCTGACGCGCTACCATTGCGCCAGGAAGCCTGATTGGATGGAAAAATTCTTCCAAAAATGTAACATATCCTCAGCACTTCTTTTGCCTACTCAGCAGCTCAATGATACTTCTCTGTTTATCGTCAAGGCATCGCATTAGTTTCAAGTCGAGTTGTGGAGTCGGATCCGCTGTCAGAAAGGCCACGTCTTCGATTCCAACGATCTGTATACGCTAATCCTACAACGTTCCTAGCATTACGCAACGGCTTTCTACCCCACTACTTCTGTCCCCTAGCCCAGATGCATCTGAAAGATCTAGACCCAGATGGTACCTCGAGTCCACCGACCATACCACAACCCTATCATACAATTCCCCTCCTCGGTCTGGATAAGTATACTCTTCCTTCTCCCTTCACGTTAACCTAATAAAAAATAAACACCCTAGAACCTACGTTGCCGCTAGGTCACCTACTTTGCAGACTTTGGTCTTAATGTAGCCCGCAGATCTGTTCAGCTTTTTTTTTCGGGTATGAGGTGCCTTAGCAATATAGTCAATACCGCTTTTTGCGTTAGGACGCACGCGAGACCTGCCGAGCGTTGTGCCGAAGCCTTCTTTTCTCCTGTATCTCCGGTGGTTGCTGGTCAGCAGTCGCTCTGGTCCTCGACACCGTTGACGCCTTTTGGTTCCGCCACGTAGTGGTCAACAGAACGTAGGTCACAATGTATCCGGCATACTTAAGCTTGACATCGGCGCGATTCCAATAGCTTAGCGCATCAGCCGGCTTTACGTTCACTGATTTCCGGATGGCCTTGATAGCCAACTGCTGTTCGACACTGAGGCCAGTAATCCTCTCCATGGTTTTATCCAAGGAGCCATTGTCGAGGGTTGGCCCGCTGAAATGGTCCTTAATCGTGTCGTTCCCTTTCTTGTGTTCGAATAGAGATTTCACTGGAAGTATGCTGCCGGTTGATAACTGAAAGACGTAGGAAGTAGTCGACAAAAAGCCGGGCAGATGAATGTGTCCGAACAGCTTAGCTTGGCAAAAATCGATGATTCTCTCCCTGAAAGCGTACCTCCGTTGTATGTCAGTAACTACCGAACCACGATTCCGGTTGAAGGCTTCTGGATGGTTGATGGCGAAACTGATGCGATGGATGACACGACCGTTGGCCGATGTCTCTAGCCATGCTAGTGGCATTTCAGAAGCGTACCGCCTTTCCCCGAACGCCCAGACAGTAGTTTGCGGGATGGCCATCGACTTGAGATACAAAGTGTACGAACGGATTGCCACGTTCCCGACAATCAGGGCAACTTTGGAGTTCGACAGACGGATAAAGACGTAGGCAGCAAAGTCCCAGAACTCGCGGACGTCGGCTGGCATTTGGCGAAGAAGGGACATGGAGCTGTCCCCCCAGGGACCAGCTTCCTATCAATGCGCCTTGGGCACACATCGACGTGAAGTAGCCCGTGGTCTCGTATGGTGGCTACATGGTAGCCGAGCTTACTGTAGAATGTCCACATAGATGCGTTGGAGAGGTCATCAACCGTTCTGTACCGAAGGTGCACGGTAGAGCGTGGATCTGCCGTGGGGTAACTTGACACAATCATCAGTGTGTCGTCCAGACTCCCAACCGGCTTGCACAGAAGGCTTGGGTCCATATCGAGCCAGTGTGGTATAATTGGGATGTCGAGCGCTACCTAGAGAGGTAGAGGTACGAAGTTAGTACATGTCTCACATGCACTTCGTACAAGCAGAACTTACTTCTGCGGCGGCTGCATCTCCCCATAACCCGTCAACAACAGGATCTGTCAAGGGCCAGGTATGTGGATTGATCTCTCGAACAGGTATGCGGAACGGCGGTGAGCTCTGGAGGTGCTGGTTAACCTGCAAAAGTACAAAGTCAGTATATGCTTCACATGCATTTCGTACAGACAGGACTTACCAAGTCCCAAAAGATTCTTATCCTTTGGTTAGATATTAAGAGTACAGGGAAGGCGGTTTCGAACATGCGCACAACATCGTCGCCAGCCAGGGTAATGTCAAACAAGGCATCGTCGGATAAGGGGACGTAAACAGATAACCATGCAAGTCGCTCAGCGCCGATAGTCTGCGGATCGGTCTCGTCTTCGAAGTCTAATTGGTGGAAGCCATTCACGTCGAGTTCGTCCTGCTCCCCCGATAATGTCTTCTAGGCAGCCGTCTAGACCTTAAGAGGCTGGTGGTTTCTAACAAGACGCTGCTTCCTAGGTCTCTTGCGGCGGTTCTTCTGCGAGTTACCCTCCTCCTGCGAGTTATGCTCCTCTTGTGAATTATCCCCCTCGCATTTTGGCTAACCTGCGTTTCTTGGTAACATGGTGCTTCTTGCGTGTTTGCCTATGCTTTTCCTGTTCTCCATTCTAGTGTCTATTTTGATTTCTGTACTGGTCCTCGTCCTGTATTAACATTACCGACGACCAAGAGGATTCTTGACTCAGATATGCGGATGAATGCCTGGGCGGCAGTGGCCCAGTATTCTCGAAGATCGGCAGGAAGCTGGCGGAGGAGACTAAGGGAGCTGTCACCCTCAGGCACGGTCTTGCGATTCAACCGCCAGGGAAAAACGTCCACATGAAACATCGAATGCTCCCTGATATCAGCGACGTGGAAACCTATCTTTGAGTACAGAAGCCACATGGACTGGTTGGACATATCGTCGTTGGTCCCATAAGCCAAGTGCACAGTTGAGTTGACGTCAGCAGTCGGATATGAGGACAACACCATGAGAGAGTCGTTGGGGCTCCCACAGGGTTTGACTAACAACCTCTCTGATATATCAAGCCATGCAAAGTCGTCTGTAGAGTCAACCTGGTGGTCAGGAGGGTGAAGAGCTTTCTCCGCATCGGTAGCTTGGCCCCAGTAGCCATCCATTGCTGTGTTTGTAGTTGGCCATGTCGTCGGATACTCCTCGCGCACTGAGATGGTGAGCGGTGGCGATGTAGACAGGTGCTCACGAGCTGACTGGTAGAAATCCGCCATGGCACTGGTTGCAAGGGCGGGATAGCCGCGTTCTACCATCCTTACGACCTCCTCGCTAGACAGCGTGGTATCCGTTAATTCTTGATCTGTAAAGGGCAGGTAAACCCATAACTCCCGTTCCGCTCTGGCAGCTTCTGGGTCTTCAGCAACAGCATCGTCGATGACCATGGGTGGCTCAGCTCCAGCATTACAGACATCCCATCCATATAGTTCTTCATTGTTTGGGCGCTGTATTTCCCTGGAGTCTTCTGCATCCGAATTAACTGTGGCCTTAGATATCCTCTTTCTTTTGGCCTGTGTGACCATAGCTCCGGTAGCTCTAGCGACGGGCAAGTACGATGCGCAGCTGATGAAGAGGCAGGCGGCTTGGACCGAGGTCGATGTAACGATAGACAGCAGCTTCAACCGGGTCAGTTGCTGCGGCAGCTGATGAAGAGGCAGGCGGTTTGGACGGAGGCCGATGTGACAATAGATAGCAGCTTCAACCGGGTCGGTTGGTGCGGTAGCTGATGAAGACGCAGGCGGCGGCGGCTTGGACTGAGGCAGATGTAAGTAAAGACAGCAGCGGCGACTTAGACTGAGACCGTCGTGAGTAAAGACAGCAGCTTCGACTGGTGCGGTACAGCATTGACAACGGCGGACGTGGGTGCACGATGTTAGTGTAAGCATAGCTGCTATTCCTGATTTTATACCAAAGATTACTGAAATGAAAAGTCCCACCATGACATGGCTGATGAATCGGTGATGGATAGCCGTGGGTATCTAAACGTGAAATGACCTGGACGCAGCGTAATAGCCATGCGTCGTATGTCGTGTGGTGTTATCCTGATGCCTAAACGCCGAAAATTCCATATGCAAAATCTCCCTCCCTCATCCCATAATTGCTCCGTTATGCAATGCGTTGTGGCTTGCTAACATATCTTTGCCGATCCGCCTACCACCAACGCCGTAGATGTCTCATCCAGAAGACCAGTCGAGCCCTAACATGTCGAATCTGACGATGCAGGAAACGTTTGACTCGCTAGTTATCTTGAGCGGTCTCAATCTGGGCATATTCTTGCCAGTGGCCATCAGCGGCCTTCTTCCAGGTACGAATGCTAGCGTCATCTCCAGTAGTGACGAGAAGATCACCTGTGATAAATGTTAGTTGTGACTGTGCATGTTCTTCCGGTGTGACTTACCCATCTGCGAGAACGCGACACGCCAAACCGCTCCGTGATGATTGGTGAGCTCATCGGTCATCTCTACCCTCTGCTTGATGCGACCAGGATACTGCTCATTCTCAATGGAAGTGTCGGGGGCCTTGGAAGCTCCAGCCAGTCCAGCTCCAATACCAGATGGGGCGTTCTGTCGATGGCCTCGCGGAGAAACTGAAAGCGGAGCGGAAGACGATGCTTCTCCAGATGCAGCGTTCCTATCCTCGGTCTGCGTTCGAAGCTCATAAATGCGAATAGCGCCATCCTTGCTAGCTGTGGCCAAGATGTCGTAACCTCGCATAGAACCATTAGCCCAGGCCAGGTCCCGAATGATCTGACGAGCACCCTCCAGCTTTGCAACTTGGAAGAAGCGCTTGGCCTTGTCAGTGCGGAAAACAAGGACGTCTTTCATGGCAGCAACGGCGAGGGACAGCGACTTGCGGTCAAGGCCAGCGGTGATGGCGGTCCAACAGGGTAGCTTCTCCTTGTGAAAAACGACCTTGAAGCCTACCTCCTCTTGGCGCTCGGGAGGGTTATTCTCGGAGACCCAGCGCTCTGCCAGGATAGTCCATTCATGGAGATTGTTCTGATCCTGGGGCTCGTACACAGTGAGATAGCCGTCGCGGGTGATGAGCGCGAGCCAGGTCTCCTGCATGATGTTCTTGAAGTCCAAAGACATGAACGGCGCGTTGGTCAATGAAGGGAGTACGTAGACCAGCTTGAAGCGGTTGCCAGACATGGCCACCTCGGTGACGTCCTCTTGCCAGATCTTGCAGCGACCATCTTCACCAATACTACCGACAACCTCGCCCATGAAGGGGCCGTTCCACTTGACCTGTACATGAAGTTAGCGACGGGTCACAAAGGTGGCAAAATGGCATGCAGGTGACCGAAAGAAGATTTGCGGCTGAAGATTAGATAACTTACATCGACAATCTCGGCATCGTGAGCTTTCCAGCTCTCGACCAGGGTCCACGAATCGTCCTTCTTGTCCCAGACCTTGACGCGATGATCTGAGCTTGCCGTGACCATGCGCGTGCCGAAGTAGTTGAAGTCGACAGCGAGTACGAGGTCCTGGTGGCCATGCGAGAAGGTCTGGAAGCTTCGCTCTGCAGCCATCTCAGCGTAGGCGCGATGCGCACACACAAAGGCCACCTCTAGTTGGTCGATGACGCGCTGCTCGACGCTGCCGGTGCTGCCGTCGGCGCAAGGCTCCTGAATCAGGGGAGCGATTAGATCCACGTGCTCGATCTCGTCTTCGAAAGCGGCGGCGATATTGAGATGCGGTCTCCGTGCAGGCGACCGTGCTTCCTCCTTGGTGGGGCCCAGCGAGGACGAATCGCTGACTGCAGCAGAGGGCAGACGCGACGCTGTCAAGTGCTGGAGGAAACTTCGCGACGCGAGATGACTGCTCACCGCATTCAGACCGTCCAGGAGCTCATCAGCCTTGGCCGAGCGGCTGGCTTGGTTGTGGTCCGCCATGTTGATGCCAATGTTCGTGGGTCTATCGTTTCGGGTTAGCAGAGCAGGAAGAAGCCGAAACAACACCTTGCCAGAATCTCTACTCACCAAACACCGCAACCACGACCTCGTGCAGATTGTGCTGCTCTGTTCGTCTCTCGCTCACTCGGCGAGCTTGTTGGTTTCGTTGCTAGAGTCGTGGATCTGTTCACAATCTTTATCTGTCAGTCTCAAGTCCACTTCGAACGATTCACGCAGAGTCACGCTCCGGGTTCAGACAAAGAGGTGGCGATTCGGCAAAACGGCAGGTCGTGACGGTGTTGCTGTGGGGAGGTTGCGCAACCGTTGTTGATATCGTCGCGACAGCAAACGGCCGCGCGGAGTCAACAGCTACAGGCGTCCACGTGCCAAGATCCGCCGTCACCTCGACATCAGACACTATCACTGTCACCATGGCGAGCGCGCTATCATCAACAGAATCACTTTCACTGCTCTCCCTATCGCTCGCATGTGTCGGTGTGCTGGCCAACACGCTTCACGGTGACGGTGAGCCGCTTGTTGCGTCGATAGCGCTCAGTGGTCTGGCCTTTGCATTCTGTTATGCTTTGATACGATGGCTTGGAGATGCCTTTGCGAAGCGTGGCTTCAAAGGGAAGGATCTATGTAAGCTGAAGCAGATTGAAATGTGAGTGTCAAGTACTGCATATGATGATAATCGACTAATGACGATAGCCCAGAGATGATGGGCGCGGTGTGTGCTATGGTGTACCTTTTCATCTTGATCTTCTTCATACCATGGCCGTTCTACAAAGACATTGTAGTCGCAACATCAGGCGGCGGTAATCGGGACACGATCAAGGAACTGGAGCTGATCGAGACCGGGAGGCTACTACACAGGTTTCCTCACAACAAGCTTGCGTCCTATCTGTCGGCCATACTTTCTCTCCAGTCGATCGTGCTGCTCGGTATTGGTGACGACCTGTTCGACATAAGATGGCGACACAAGGTGCTCATTCCAGCCTTTGCAGTTATTCCTATGCTCGTGGTCTACTTTGTCGACTTTGGTGTCACGCAGATGGTCGTCCCACTACCACTCAGGCCTTACCTTGGCGAGCTCTTTGACCTGGGTATGTACTTGCATTGAGAGCTGTTTCTGAATTGCCTATTAACGTACGTTCAGGCTGGCTTTACTACGTCTACATGGCGCTGATGTCCATCTTCTCCTCGAATAGCATCAACATCTTGGCGGGCATCAACGGCATCGAGGTGGCCCAGTCTATAGTCATTGCAGTCCTGATTGTCGGCAATGACATGCTGTATCTCTCACCATTTACGACGTACCCACAT